CCCACGGGTGAGGAGCACCGCACCGCTCACGGCATCACCCCGCGTCAGCCCAGGGGGCGATTTCCCCCCCGAAATGATGTCATTTGGGAAAGGGTGACGCATGTCACCCGCGGGAGGCACAGCCCCAAGTGATGGAGGGGGCCACGGCCGGGTCACGGCTCTGCCCTGCCCTTGGATGGATGGATGGATGGATGGATGCAGGGTGACCCCAGAAGAAAAAAAGCACCGCTGGACAAGCGCTTCGTATTGAAGCGTCGTTTATTGATCATCAAGCACACATCTGCTCAGCAACAGTGCGTGACGGGGTACAACAGTTGACATCTAACTCGCGGGTACAGGATCCGAGAGCGGGAGGAAGGGTACTGAACCGCCCGGAATGCCAACCCGGGGGCAAGGCGGTGCTCAGGCTCTGGAGACCAGCGAGAATAAAATGAGGAATACAGTAAGATCGGAGCTGAACTTCTGCTCCGGCCAGTGATTTAAAAACCAGTAACCCTCCTTGCATATAATAAATAGGTGGGAGTGCAGAGAACTCTCTCCCCCTCATTGCTCCCACGCTGACAGAGGAAGGACAGCTGTTCTTTGACTGGTGGTGACATTTCACGTCACCGAAAACCCAACGGCCACCAAGGAACAGCCGAGTGCCAACGTGTATCCCGCTCACGCAGCCCCGCGGACTTGCTCCTCCCCGGGAGGAGGGCTGGGTGCCTGCCCTGCCATCCCACTCAAGCAGCCTCGAGGCTTCATCTTTCATCCCTTTCCCCCCCACCCGAGCAGATCTGTCCCTCAAAGGTAGCCTGTGGGTTTTCACATCCAGCTGTCGTCCCTGCGGAGCTCGGAGGGCTATTGGGAGGGAGCTGTGTCAGCAGCGAGCAGCTGAGTGGAGAGCCTCGACACTTCAGCAGCTCAAGCAGGCAGTAAGTCGGAGATGAGCAAAGCCAGGCCCATCCAGGGACACTCCATGACAGATGCCTTGGATTGGATCACCACGCACACTTTGGATACAACCTAGAGTTAAGAAACTCACAGGGTTTTAGCAGGGCTGAAATTTATGACAAGCCACCAACAGCTTGCTGAGACACCAGACTGAGCTTCAGCTTGATAGAAAAAGGCTTTGAAGGCAGAGGGTGAGGGATAACAATACAATGCTTCTGCTCCAAGGAGCTCCTAAACCTCCCTGTACCCCACAGCCTGCAGAAGGAAGCCAGGGGCTGGATCTAGCAACAGGACAGAGATCAGCATCTTCAACTCTTGCCAGAAGGAAAATAAAGCAGCTTTGGGGTTTTTGCCCAGCTTAGAGCTCAAGTCTGGTCAGTGAGCATATGGAGAGAAAATCGTAGTGGGAGTTTGCATCTTGAAGATTTACTTATCTCCTATCACAGCAGCTGAAGAGAACCCCAGCCAAACTCTGATGGAACAGCTCTACCATGCTGCAGCAACAGGTCGTAGCTCCTCTCTAAAGATTAATCCTGGCACGACTCTTTATAGTTGAAAATCCAAAGCATAATTTTGACTGAAAAAGAGGTTTGCGTGAAAGATGACAGAGAGCTCACCAGTCCTAGACAAACACCTGCAACCCAGCATCTCCGTGTCCCAGTCAGAGCTCACACCCTGCACTGAGGGGAGCTCCCTGCGTCCCCACGCAGGCTGGCACTCAGCGGGGTGGGCACTCTCGGGTCTGCTTCTGCCAGCTAGCAGGCACCCACTCAGCCAGCTTAATGCTGCTGACACGATGGCGTTAAACACGTGAAATTCAGGGCCAAAGTGCTTTCACCCGTGGCACAGCCTGGGAGAGCAACAACTCAGAGCTGAGGAGGTCTGTCAATATCTACCAGTATTCGGAGTACTTTAAACACTGTTTTTCACACAGGAAAAGCCCCACTCCCAGTTAATCATCCAGTTCCTCCCAGACACGAAAGATGCTTCACTGCAGGGACAGTTAAAAGCAATGAGTCACACACCTCATCGATGCCAAGCTGCTGCACACCAAAGCAGCATCATTCCCAGAAGTAGTCTGATCAGCAAATCACACTGTAAAACTCATCGTGGGATTATTCATTTTTCCTGGAAAACCTATCACCTCAAAGGCAACGGAAAAATTCAGAGATTGGTCCTTTCTGGGGAAGTGTGGGAAGGGCCATCAGTCGACAGAACTCAGACTCGTGAAATGCTAGAGACACGTTCTCCCGACACACCGCACGTGCACGCACAGGGCAAGAATCTAGAGGAATGCAAGTGCAGGATTCCAGCACATCCAGCAAGATGCAAAAAGTAAACTGCAAGGTAATTCAGGTGTTATTCCAGGGAAGGTCAGAGACAGTCCAGGCAGCTGCCCTCAAGTATTTCAGCTGGAGAAAAGAATTCACAAAGGCTCTTCTCCTCACTAAAACTGGTACCAGGGCTGCAAGCCGGCATACGGTGGTCTCCCTCTACGCAGGGCTGTTCCACGCTCTCCTGGAGCAAAGTGCCAAGCCCTGCGGGGAGAGGCTCTGCTGGGTGTATGGACTTGTAGACCTCTGTGAAACAGCCACCACCTACCCCACGCCAGCCGCTGTGTGAGCAGAGAGCATGCTCTGGGAAGAGCAGCGACGTCGCTCACCCAGGCTTTTATTTTTTTCCCCCAAAAGCACGTGGCAGTTGTCCCTGACACTGGGAAAGACCTTCTCCTGGCTAGTCAAGTTTGGTGACAGAGGGAGCCCTTTCCAGACAGGATCTCAGAGTGCCTCAGGCCCTTTGTGTAACCTATGAAGGACCAAAAGTGTCAGTGCTTCTAATCTACAAGTCTAAGGGGTTAATGCAAAACCAAAACGCACAACACAAAAGCCAAGCGTGGGACCTACAACCGACAAATATTTGTTGTTTCTTGTCAGACTCCCAGGGCAGGAGCCCTGCTGAGACACAAATACTGTGTGCTGTAGCACTTCTTTCCTAAAATACCACCTAAAGACGCTTACATATGACAGATGATTTGGCACCAGAGCTCGGGCGCATGAGTGCCAGCACAGGGTACATGCTAGTGACTCCACACAACGCGGTTTTCACATCACCTCAGGATACAAAGTGCTTACAGGTTGTGTTGGGACCGAGGCTGGCACGGCTCTGATGACAGGACACGTATCCACCATCAGTCCCTGCCCAGCCCAGGCACACCAGCAAGTTCAGCTCAGCGCAGGCAGCGTCACCCACACTGCCCAAGCCCAGCACAGGTCAGACGGACGGATGGCTCTTCCCAGGTCACCAGACGGCGACAGGGTAACGCTGTAAGCTCAGCAGATCCGATTTCACTGCCTCTCTCTGCTCTACGTCGCGCGAAGACTCAAAAGTCTTCCGGGTCTAATTTAGAGAGGATGGTGCTTCTGTTTCTTTATTAACCATAGATACCAACGAAAGGCAGGGGAGCCTTCCTCCTCCTCCGCGCTGGAGAAGAGCACATGCATTATAGCGAAGCTTAATAAAGAAATCCTCTCTCCAGAGCAAAGTCGAGTGCCAAGGCCAAGACTTTAAACGGTCTCACTTTAAATCACTTAAAAGCTCTTGCCACGATCTGCTCCGGCTCCCAGGCTCCCGCCACCACCGCTCCTGCAGGGCAAAGCCACAGCCCCAGTGTAAACGAGCAAGCACAACACGCACACAAGCACACGCTGAAAGCCATCCCGGCCTCCTCTGCACATCACAAAGCAGCAGTAAAGGTTTCAAAGCCCACTTAAGTCCTTTGCATCTCTCCTTCACAGATGACTCAAAAAGCAGGGCTAGGAAGCTCTTTTGTACATTCAACTGTAAAACACGTGAGGAAGAGGAGCAAGACAACTCTCCTGATTGTTGCTACTGCCTACAGCAAGTTTTGGTACAGATATCCTCTCTTATAGGCACTCAGTGGGTAAAACGTAGCCACAACGAACTTGCCATCAAAAATCTTCCCAGTCAGCATTTTTTGGGCAGCTTTGGAATCACCAGCATTTGCATATTCAACAAAGACCTGAAAGAGAGAGAGGAGAAATAGGACTTCCAGTGCAGCTTGCCACCCACCCCTTCCCACCCCCGCAACCGGGGAAACAGCTCCGTAACAGATTTTTCCCTTCCATCCTTGGTTGAGCCCAGAGCAGAGGAACCAAAAAGGAAGGAGCTGCACCTCTGAACTGGAACATCACCTCTTGCTCCTCGTCTCCAAGGGCAGCGTGTTTGGTAAGGTAGGAGAAAATATGATGATAATCTACACCCCCAGTGCTTCCCCTCCCACCCACTGGATTCTCCCCTTCCCTCCCATATTCTAGCTCCCCTGCTCAAGCTGTTTGGGGACCTCCCAGGTTAGGCAACCTTACATAACCAGGAAGGAATCCATGCTGTCCTTCAAGATAATTTTGCTATTTTTAGCACTGTCATCAGCCAGGAGATTTCCAGGAGCTGAGCAGGAGTCCTGCAGCATACAGAGCGTCTGTGGGAATACACAGCCTCTTCCCTCCATTCACTTACTTGGCCTTTACCAGGATTCTCCTTTGGAATAAGCAAGGAAACCACCGGTCCATATTTCTGACACTCCTCCCTTATGTCTTCCAGGATATCTGAGAAAGGAAAGAGGTGGTTGTCTTTCACTTTGCAAACTAGGATGAGCCAAGAAACAAAGAAAGGCCAGATGAACACACCAAAAACATCTGGTCAACAGCCATTCTTTGCCTCTCAATTTAAAACAAACAATCCAGAGGTGTCACAGCAGAAGCTGACACTGCTTAACGGCCACATAACGAGACGAGGTGTCTGAACCGAGGGTCAGGAACACAGACCTGCAGGTGGTGAATCCCTGACAGCAGGGCTTGGAGCACAAGGGCAGTACTTTTCCATGCACACAAAGCTTGGCCTTCCAGTAGCTAAAACTTTGGGGATTTGTGACTGCCCTTTTGGGTGGTGTGTGGTTTTTTTTGTTACGGTGCTTGGAGAAGGGGAACTAAAGGAGCTGCCACAAACCCTTCTTTGTGTGAGCAGAACCCAACCTTTTAAACTCATATCCCCAGAGCTCTCCTGCTTCTGCCACTCACGCGGATTTGAGAGCAAGCAGAAATCCAAGTTCCACCGACACCCCTTGCCACCTACCAGGTACCGTTTTTCTACGGTTTAAGAACTCTTGATGAGATATTCCAGTTCTCTGCTGAGATCTTGGATAAGTTTATTAGCAAACTTTTGAGGATCTCTGCTACTGGGGCCCAGAGCGTTGCGGATGTCTAACAGAAGCTCAGAGCCACAAACACATGATGAGGTCTGTGGGCGTTTAACCAAACAACAACATCAAATCAAATTATTTATTTATTTTAATCTGGGATCCTTCAAGAACTCGCTACAAGCTCTGCTTTCTGTCTCAGTTTTTTAGCAGTTGACCCACTTGGTAGCAAATCTCAGCTAGTCAGCTCTTTCTTCGCTGTTCTTG